TTTTTTTTTCCATGTCATTGATTAAGAAAAAAAAAGAATTGATTTGCTGGCATTTTAACGTGCCACCTGTCATTTAACTGACAGAAGGACTATTTTGGTACCAAAACTAAAAGTTTAAGGATAATTTTGGTACTTTTTAAAGATGAGGGACAATTTTGATGTCAAAGTGAAAAGTTGAGGGACTAAAATGGTACTTAAACCATTCATTAATAACTTTTTGTCATTTTAAGCTCTGACTAGCAATTTTGTTAGTCAATCTAAACTGAAATTAATATTTCGATATAAAATTTGACTTATAAACTTGAGGAATCTTGGATGTAAAATGGGACAGAAGCAACAGTATGCAGACACACAAAATTGCTTTTACAAAGAAGTTGAAAAGGTTTGCTTCGAACTTTTACCATCTTCAGAGCAGATCCTTAACATGGGCTTGGTGCTTCCATGTGAACTCATAACCACGGCTGGGGTTGAGCATCAGGTGTGCGTATATAGCTCACATTTGTAGGTGCCTAACTTGTTAATTTGGATAACAATTTTCTCTATACTTGAAAAGAGCTGGTTAAATATTGAGTATGAAAAATGCATATTTATATGTATATCAAGTCAAGTATTAGATATGAGGGTCCATACATGTATAATTTATATATATATATATATATATTTGTTATATGAATTTAAATTTCTATGAGCTAATGTATTTTGCTCTATATATAAACTTTGTTTGAACATAAGTATCTGGAGGCCTGGTATAAACTTATATATTTAAGGAGGTATTATATCTATGTATTATGTATAAACTTTAAGTATATGTTTTGGAATACATTTAAGTATGTCCTAACTTATATAAAAAATTATAATATTTAATGGATATACAAGTATAACTCAAGTATACTTATATCTAATGAGTGGATAACATGTTAGAAAAAAAAAAGAAAATAATAGGATAATAAGAAAGTTCTAAGTTGTAATTTCACTTTTTTAGGGATTCAAAAATTTTCTAGAATACAACAAAACTCAAAAACTATCTTAAAAGTTAGTAGTAGAACTTGAACACCGTAAAGAATTTATACTGGCCTAATAGACACCAACTAAAGGGAAATATCCCTACAGGAAGACACCAATTAAAGGGATGTGTTCATATAGAAAAGACACCATCTAAAGAGATGTGTCCCTACAAAAAGACATTACTTTGAAATGTGCTTTTTAGTTGCCAAAAGTTAAGTATGAATTTTAAACAGTTCTCTACAAAATAATAATAATAATAATAATAATAAATTAAAAAATAAATAATAAATAATAAATAATAAATTTTATTCTCATAGGTCAACACCCTAAACAACCCAAGTGCCTATCTGAATGATAATATAAAAGGGCAAGGCCTAAACCTAAAGCTTGCAGGCCATAAGTTCCAACTTTTCATAATTATTTATAGACAGAGAGCAAACATATATAAATTCCTTTATTTCTTTTTTCTTCCCAAATGTGGGATTTTCTTCATTTCAAACTATTCAACATTCCATCAATGACCTGTTGGTCCGAGTGGAAGGAGGTCGGTTCCCCTTAAATAAGATCTCGAGTTCAAGTCTTGTGAATGGAGAAATAGGTGCTGGGAGAGCTTCCCCCCTAATAAGGTCTGACGTGGCTTGATTTTGGATTAGTGAAGACCCAATGTGGTTACCGAGTACCAAGAGGTTAATACCAAAAAAACAAAACTATTCAACATTCCTTGACTAGTTTGAAATGTTCATTTAGTTCTACATAGCAAGAAATACGCCTAAGGAAGGTATCTCTCCATTTAAACCTTCTATTAGTGAACATACCTCAAATCTAATGAAGTTATTGGTGTCTAAGGATTAAGCCATAACTATTTATATTAGACGTATGTGTATAATACATGTAAGTCTTATCTATCTAATCTACGAGGTTTAAAACCTTTTTAGCACAGTTATGACCGTGTGCTCATCCTAGTTATAGTGGTTATTTAGAAGAGAATCCAACATCTTCTTGTTTGAATTGGCACCAGTTCAATGACCACTTAGGTAGAGTTCTTTATGTCCCTATTGCTATAGACACTTAGTAATTAACAACTCCATTAAGAGTATAAACTCATCCTCCAAAATGCAATAGATTGTACTTAACTAATTTAGGAGTAGGTATCAAGTGCTAAATAGGTATACTTAGTAACTTGTTTTTACCCATTAAAGTTTAAATTTAAATGTGACTAAATTAAAGTTAGTTTCCCTTTACCAATGCCCAATTTAAATATTTAAGCCTCATTCCTACTGACATTCTTTCTACCACATCTCATGATAAGGCTTTGGTGAGAGAATCAACTAAGTTGTCTATAGGTTTACATATATTATTGTTCTAACCCCACTAATGATCAAATCTTGAACATATGTATGTGTAAGGTTAATATTTTCCATTATAAACATTACTATATGCTCTAGACATTATAACCTTACTATCATAAGGCAAGCAAATGGCTAGCGTAAGTTTTGGCCATAACTTTTTATCAAGTAATAAATTTCTTAACCATTATGCTTCCTTGCCTATTGCTGCCAAAACAATGAATTCAAATTCCATAGTAGAATGTGACATGCAAGTTTGTTTCTTTGATGCTTAACTTACTACACCTTTTCCAAGTATGAAGATCTAACCTAAAGTTTATTTATTATCACTATTAATAGCAATCTAACTTGCATTTGCATATCTTTCTGGGACTGCAGGATAAGTTGAGTAAAATAAACCAAGCTCTTTTGTTTTCTTAAGATAACCAAGTATTCCTCTAATGGCTTTCCAATATTCATGACTTAGTTTACTTATGTATCTTAATAACTTGCATACTCCAAAGGCTACATCTGGCCTAGTGTAATGCATGGCATACATCAAACTCCCAATTGCTCTTGCACATTCCAATTGAGCAACAACATGACTAGAATTTATAGTCAACTTGATACTAGGATCAAATAGAGTAAGGCTTCCTTTATATTAAGATATTGAAATTTACTCAACATTTTCTCTATATAATGCCATTGATTAAGTATGAAGCTATGGTCATGTCTCTACTATAATTCCCAAAATAGTATCTTCTTCATTTAAATCTTTCATTTTAAAGAGTGAAGATAAATACTTTTTGGTCTCATTTGTTACCAACATGTTGGTACCAAATATTAACATGTCGGTACCAAATATTAACATGTCATCAATATAGAAACATGTTATCACTCCATAATCCTTTGTAAACTATAAGTAGATACACTTATCTACATCATTATGTTTAAATCCATTTGCTAGAGTATGTGTATCAAATTTCTGATGCCATTGCTTGGCAACTCACTTTACACCATATGGTAACTTAACTAATTTACATACTTTCATTTTCAAGAAGTATACAGCCTTCTGGTTACTTCATGTATACTTCCTCACTTAAGTCACCATTTAGGATTGCTGTCTTAACATCAATTTGATGCATAAATAGCTTGTAAATTGAAGTTAATGACAAGAGAACTCTTATGGATGTTATTTTAGCAATAGAAGCATATGTCTCAAAATAATCTAGGCCTTCCTTTTGAGTAAAACCTTTTTCAACTAATCTTGCCTTGAAGATTTGTACAGAACCATATGTGTTAGATTTCTATCTAAATACCCATTTGCAACCAATTGATTTAGAGCCATGTGGTAAATCCACAAAGATCCAAGTATTATTGAACAGAATAAAGTCAATATTATCATTTACAACTTCTTTCCAAGAAGTTTCATTTCTTGAAGCTATTACCTCTTTAACTATTTTTGGATCATCCTCAACATTTAATAGCGTGGGTATTTTTTGAATTTCTTTGGTTCTAGTTGCTTCAACTAGGAAATCAATAAACAATGAAGAGATAAAATCGGGATAAAGAAACTTTTCTCTCTTGACCCTAATATTTCTAGGTTCAATTGAACCATCTTTTTCTTTCCTTTTATCTCTAATAAATGGACTTGTACTAATCTAATTTTCATGCATTTAATTACTCATAGAAATTTCACCAATCAATCGTAGTAGTAGAATCATTGATGAACTTGTTTTCAAAAAACTTAACATACACAAATTCTACTATAACATTTGATTTTAAATCTACCAACTTATAGGCTTTAGAATTTATTACAGAACCAACAAATATATTTCTAATGCTTTAAGGTCCTAATTTTTTTCTTTGTGAGTCTAGCACTTTATAGAATGCAAGACAACCCTACACTTTGAATCCAAGTCTCATATGGAGAAACATGAGTTTTCTTAGATGGAATTTTGTTAATAACATTATTGGCAACAAAAAGTGCCTCTCCCTAAAGATTGTATTGCAACTTCGAATTTAGTAACATGCAATTAACCATGTCAACCAAAGTTCTATTCTTCCTCTCCACCAAACAATCCTATTGGGGTGAATAAGGGGTCACTCTCTAATTTATGACATTATGTTCTTAGCAAAATTGTGAAAAAGTTTTTGAAAAATACTCACCTTCCCTATCACTACAAAGAGTTGTAATTCTCCTTGTTTTGATTTTCCACAATAGATTTGTATTCTTTAAAATTGTCAAAAGCCTCATCTTTTGTCCTCATAAGATACACATGAGTACATCTAGAACAATCATCAATAAATGTAATGAAATATCTTTTATCTCCTCTAATAAGATGACCATTTAATTAACAAAAGTCAAAATGCACTAACTCTAAAATTTTTATATTTCTTTCTTTCTTCTGAAAAGGTTTTCTGATCATCTCTCATTGCATACAAATTTCACATTTATCTTTGAAGTCATTTTGAAAAGTTAGATATCAATGCTTAGACATTGACTTTAATGATTCATAGATCACATGTTCTAGTCTAGCATGCCATAAAGAAGAAGAATACTTAACAATGTATGCTTTAACATGCCATAAAGAAAAAGAATATTTAACAATGTAAGCCTATTTATTTCATTAATACTCAACTTGAACATTCCATCACAAGAATAACCCTTCCCAACAAAATTGCCATTCTTTAATATAATGGTATTGTTTGACTCTAAGAGAACTCTTAAGCCTCTCTTACATAATAGTTTTGCAAACAACAAGTTTTTCCTTATATTAGGTACATGGAAAACATTAAGTGATGTCAATTTATGGCCTAAAACAAACTTCAATTCCATCATGCCTTTGCCTAGAACATTTACTAGAACATCGTTTCCCATAATCGTACTTCCTTTAGTTTCTTCAAATCTTTATAAGACTTAAATTGTACTTTATTATTGCATACATGAACTATTGCATCGAAATCTAGCCACCAATCCAAAGATTTGGCTAGATTTGCCATATTCAATTCAATCACCAATCCGACTTGCATTTTATAAATCATTGCAACTAATTCATACTCAATCAAATTTTCCTTATTGCTTGTTTCTACATTAGCTTTAGACTAGTGCCAAAATTCTTGGTAATGCTCCTAAACTTGCAATCTTTAATAAAATGACCTTTCTTACTACAATGATAATAAGGTTGATTCTTCTTGGAAGAAACTTTCTTAAAAGCACTGCTTTTCTTGTGAGCCTTTAGTTCATTTTGGAAAGGCTTGATAGAATTTTCAATCACATGACTAACTTTAATTTGATGGTGCCAATATTGCATCTCTTGTGCATGATTTTCTAACTTAATTTGAAGATGTGTTTGGAACTACACCATAGTCAAAATTTCTTCTTAATGTAGAACCTTTTTCTTGTAATTATTCAAATATGGAGGAAGTTTTGAAAGAACAACACCCACTTAAAGTGAATCATGAATCTTTATCTCCAACTCTAGCATTGTTGACACCAAAATTTGTAATTTTTGCATTAGATCCATGATGGAAATATTATCTTTCATTTCAAACTCTAAGTAATTCAATGCAAGAAATTTATTCTACCTTTCTTCTCATGCTTATATTTCTTTTCCAAAGCAATCCAGAATTTTTAAGGAGACATGTTATGGTACATATCATAAAGTCTACCAATGAGAAAGTTCAAAACGTGCCCACGACATATGAGTTCATCTTCTTCATGCTTCAACCTTGCATTCCTCACTCCTTTGGAATCATCTTCTTTTGGTGCTATGATAGGTTGCAAGCCTGGATCAAGAACATATGACACACGTCAATGCTATTAGTAGGAAAGTCATTTTATCCTTTCAACACATGTGGTTGGTGCCATTTAACCTATCCAACTTCACTTCATCTAGATTCAACAACTTAATATTGGCATTCAAAGGAAGAGCTAATTTTGAATCCTTAAGATTGTTAAGAAAAATGTAAAAAGATAAGAGGACAACATAACTGAAAAACTCTCTCAAAAATTAAGTTCTATTAAGTGTAGAACTTAAAGTCTATAAGGAATTTATAATAGTTGAATAGACATTAGTTGAAGGGATATGTCTTTACAAAAAGACACTACTTTAAAAGGTTCCTTTTAGTTGCCAAAAGTTATGTTTAAATTTTAGACATATCTTTTTGAAAAACAAATTAAAAATTTGAAATTAATTAAAAAATAAATTTTCTTTTGGTAGGTCAAAGCCTCAAGCAACCCCAAGTGTGCAAGTGCCTATCTAAATGATAATATAAAAAGGCAAGACCCAAATCCAAAGTCCACAGGCCATGAGTTCTAATTTTCTATAATTATTTATGGACAGGTGATAAACATATATAAATCTCTTTATTTCCTTATTCTTTCCAAATATGAGATTTTCTTCATTTCAAACTATTCAATATAACATATATAGATTTTCAATACCTAAATAAGCACTAAATATCAAAATCTTATAACTATAAAATTTCAAGTTAAATATAAATATAAACAAATACTTGAACCATACCTATACCAACTCACCATAACCACGGTCCACTAGCCCCTTGGCCGGTATGGCAACCTTCAGGAACCACCGTTTGGGTCACGCACTAAATTAATAGGCTTGCACGTGAATTAGGAACGTTGGCTAGTGGCCATTAGCCCTGGACCATGATGACACGAAACTAAATGGGCTTGCAGCAACCACCCTGCTCCTGCACACAACTAGGTCACACGCTAAATGGTCTAGATAAGGGAAATTCCTTGTATATTTAAGGTAACTCTTTTTTGGAGAAGGCTCCCAGCAAGAGCCAATGGCAGTCAAACATTGATACAACTACGACCAGCTTAGGGAATTTGATAAAGTTCAATTACATTGAATGTCGCACTATTGGAAAACGCGGCATTTGCGACAATATTATATTCGACAGCCACATTTCTGTCAAAAATGTGTACATAATCGACAGAAAGATTGACGAAGATGTAAAATTGACAATGATAATGGAAATTTCTTGTTTAATCGACAGTATTCATATTCGACAACGTTTTTGTCGAATATACAAATATATTCAACAGTCTTTGGCTGACGAATATGTTTATGGTTGGCAACGACATCGTTTCCTCTGTATATTCGACAGCTTTGGCTGTCGAATATACTCATTCATATCACCCGCACCTCACCTTTCTTCCCCATTTTTGCTTTTCCCTATGCGGTGGTAGATCTAGTTTCTTCTCCGGCGAAGCTTGCTGTCGTTGTTCTTCCGTAGCGCCCCCTGTTCTTCGCTCCGCGTCGGTGCCGGTGAGTTTGCCCTTCTCTTGGTCAATTGATTGATTTATTTTTGCATGTATTTTCCTTGCATTGTTCAGCCTCCAACGACAGTCATCGGCACATTGCATTGTTCCTTGTTGATCCTTGCCTTTTGGTTCAGCCTCTAGCATCTCTAAGTAACCACACCACATGGAGGAGGTTTCCTGGAAGTTGCAGCACACAGTTTTTTTTTTTTTTTTTTGGTTTTACTTGTTTTTTCGTTGGATATACTGCTTACTATACCCCATTTTTCATTTTTTATAGGTTGAAATCCAGCTTTTATTGGTCTTGCAGCATCCATTCCCCCACTGCAGAGGTAATTGGGATTTTTGTGGTTTTTTTTTTTTACATAAATATACTATTTTATTTATGTAGATTAGTTTAGATTATTGCTATAATTATTAGTGAATTACAAATATTTTTTTTCAAGTTTTTGAGATTGAGATTTGTACTTAGTTGAAGAGTTGTTTTTAGTAAATTTTGAATTATTGTGTTTGAGGTTAA